GGCACTGGGATGCCATTCAGAAGATCCTCGGCTACTTCAAAGGGACGAGGGACCTCGGCATCACCTACCAACGGGGATCGGGGTTAGGGCTGGCCGTGTACGTAGACGCTCGCTACACCGACACGGAGGGTAAGCGTTCGGTGTCAGGGTTGGCAACGACGGTTGGAGGTACCGTGGCCAGCCATGGTAGCAAGACACAGAGCATCGTGTCCCTATCTTCGACGGAAGCCGAGTACGTTGCTGACGGGGAGGGCGTCAAGGAGGCGTTGTTTGTGCGTGCTGTGCTTTCGTTTGTTGCCCCAGAGACCAGTGGTAGCAGCATCCAGGTCCTTGAGGACAACCAGGGGGCCATAGCGTTGGTGCAGAACCCCCTCAGTTCAGGGCGCACCAAATACATCGACGTGAGATTTCATTTCATCCGAGGATTGTTTGGGTCGGGGGATATTTCAAAGGTTGTGTTCTGTAGGGTAGCCACAAAGTGTACCGGCGTTTTTTGGGGGGTATTTACCCTACATAACGATACAGACGAGTGCTGTGGCACTTCCGATACCCTACCGGATAGTTCTGTGAGATCTGTGGCACTTCTAATACCCTACAGAACACGCCTATGCGGTTCTGTGACGCTCCAATACCCTACAGAACAAGAATATTGCGGTCAAGTTCGTTCCGACAACGGAGCAACACGCGGACCTCCTAACCAAGGCCCTTAGCGGGGCTAGTCTCCAGTACCACCGGCGGAATTTGATGGAATTTGCCGGAGTAGCTGTAGCAGTTTCTGGCACTGGAGAGAGGTCATGTTTTCTATGCGGGGAAAGGCGCTTAACTGTTGCGGTCTGTGTACCAATGGCAGGAGTAGGGGGCGTTGGGAGACCATCGTCCGGGGGAACGTAGTTTCTCGCATTTTTGTCTTCGCCTTGGCCGTTCTAATAAGTGCGGCCGTTGTGATCCGCTGTGATAGCGACGGTTTTTGTGGTGGTACGTTATTTTTCGAGGGGTTTTGCCCGGACGCCGGGTTTCCCCTCCAAATATTACCATGTTGGTATTTTCTGATGTATCCAGGGGCGTTCTTGCCCAGTTGATGGTTAGTCACTTGCGATTGATGGTTAGTCACTTGCGTGAAGAACCAGGGAGGGTGTTCGTGGGTCTGCGAACATTGGTGTTGGATACACGTGCTGGATGATTTGGTGTCACGCAGACTGGTAAGATTACCGTTTGGTAGGGGGCACCGCGATGATTCACGGGGCCCCTCCTTGCTGTTGAGCCGCTCTTTGAGCACTCCCTCTTTCGTCCGTGTGAGGGACGGTCGTCTACCATTCGTGAAGTTAAAACATCACCAAAACAGTCTCACCCGATAAATATGTGGCGTAGGCCGCAAACATCCTTTGCGCTTTCAGCTCCCTTTCCTCAGCACTGCTGTGTTCGTTGCATCTAAGCCAAGCGGCAGTCCCCCTTCTCCGTTCCCCCGACAAGAGCTCACCTCGTTTCGACTTTCACTGCAATCAATCCTCGCTCAGGAATCTGGCAGGAGTTGGAGACGCGCTGGCGTTCCTCCGTGACAACGACATCATCCACGCAGATGTAAAACCGGCAAACATCCTTCGAGACAAGAATTTCAGCCGCTTCGTGCTGACCGACCTTGGTGCGGCAAGCGGTGAGTCCTACCGTGTGGTGGACACGTGTTTGTTCACGGGATGGTGGTGGTTGGGGGATGGTTTGCATGGAGTAAGTGCGAGTGTTCGACGATCTCAGAATATATGAAAATAGATACAAAGAGTGGCAACATATTGGGAAATCCATCAGACAGCCACTGTCACTGATGCCTCCGAAGTCAAAATAGGTGTCTTTCTTTCGCTCGGCGAAAAACGTGTTTCTTGTGGGCTTTAAGATTCCCAAGGGCAACGCAGGGTGCCCGAGATTTTTTTGCCCGTGAAGTGCCTAGATGCCATATTAGGTAGACTTCAAAGATAGTGCACCTTGTCATGAGCGCGATTTGCTGTCCGATAAAGGTGGCTCGTGCAGCGTCCTGACAAGATGCACAGTAGACTATTTTACAAGCCCAGAGGCAAAACAACACCGTTGCAATGCATTAGGGAACCTCTGCATTAGGGGACCGTTTCCCTGAAAAAAGCAAGGGAAACCTCTGCACCAGGGAACCTCACCGCCCCCATCGTTGGAGACTC